TTATGTGATAAGATATCAGCCTCCACCTTTGCTAAATTTTACAGAAAAAGTTCCAACAAATACGAAAAAGAGAAAGAAAGAGACCAACTAAGCTGGAATCAAAATGAAAGCCTAGAAGGGTTTAGACAACAAGTATCCACGTAGAAAACGAAATGGCTGTGTCAAATGTCCAGGTTTTGACCAAGCATAACATTTAGGCTGAGTTGCACTATCTTACTTTGACCGTAAATATAACGATAACCGCTGTTTTTTGTATGGAGTTTGACAAATTTTTGACGTTTGTCAAAGTTAAAGTACGATGGTGCAACCCAGCCTTATACGACACAAAAAGTAGTTAAACGCATGTTGTCACATGCAAGTCGTCGAATGACGATGGATGGATATATTTTCCCGCCTTTGCATCAAGGACCTTGCATACCCACGCATTGAAAAATATTTCGTCTTTGCTTCATAAAACTTCGCATGACACATGATGCATGCAACAAAAGTCCGCATGCATCACAAATCACGCGTACTCTGCGACGGCCCTTGCAGCCGGCCGCACCGGAGATACGCGTGATGTAGAGCGCACCAACCGCGATCTATTGCGCACCTTTGCCCTTGCACTTTTAAACCAATTCATTGTACGGGATTTTTCGCTTTACGCTGAGCTGAGGGCCAGTAACTTTGCGAAAAATCTGAAGTGAATAGCAGGGAGTGATCGTAAACTAGCACTTATCCACGCAGGTTATTATGTTTCCACTTCAAAAATACGCACGATGCATGCAAAAAATGTCCGCATGCATCACGAATCACGCGTACTCTGCGACGGCCCTTGCAGCCGGCCGCACCGGAGATACGCGTGATGTAGAGCGCACCGACCGCGATCTATTGCGCACCTTTGCCCTTGCACTTTTAAAGCAATTCATTGTACGGGATTTTTTGCTCTACGCTGAGCTGAGGGCCAGTAATTTTGCGAAATATCTGAAGTAAATACCAGGGAGTGATCGTAAACTAGCACTTATCCACGCAGGTTATTATGTTTCCACTTCAAAAATACGCACGATGCATGCAAAAAATGTCCGCATGCATCACAAATCACGCGTACTCTGCGACGGCCCTTGCAGCCGGCCGCACCGGAGATACGCGTGATGTAGAGCGCACCGACCGCGATCTATTGCGCACCTTTGCCCTTGCACTTTTAAACCAATTCATTGTACGGGATTTTTCGCTCTACGCTGAGCGGAGGGCCAGTAACTGCGAAAAATTGGAAGCGAACAGCAGGGAGTGATCGTAAACTAGCAGTAGTCAGCAATACTTACAGCTACGTAAAGGTGATTACGTTTTCTCGTTGCCAATCCTAAGAATTTTGTAAAACATAGTTTGTTAAGTATTTTTAAAGGAATTTTATTACATTTTCTTTATTTTCATAAAGAGGAGACTATATTTTTCATCAACATCATTCCACGCTATTATAAATCTACATAGTCATTAAAATAAAGTGCTCCAAGACACAAATCACTCCATGACCTATCATTCGTTACAGACTATGAGTTTGTAGGTACTCGTATAACTTTCTAGAAACAAAAGCCATCAGCAATTTAAAAAGATTTTCTGTCAAAGCAGAAATCCAAAATTTAGTCGAATGGCCTGCGTCTTAGTATCAGATAGAAAGGTTTTTTAGACGACGGCCTCGTTAGTAGCCGGGGTGATATTTCAAAACTAAACAAAGAGATCAAACCCTCTTTGCTCCTGGGCTAACAAAGCTCGAATGACCCCTTTACCGGTCGGCCACTCCTTTGTGATCAAAGCCCGCGTCGCTAAATGTCGAAGAAGATTAATTACCATACAAATGAAGACAATGGTCGTGTAAAAAATGTTATAATTTGTTTTAGTTGTGTTGTTTAGGCTCAGCGTTCACAATAGAGCGGATTATTGTTTTGTTCGTCCGGTTTTTGGGTCGCGTCCGGTGACACGCTTAGGGGTTTCTCGCAATCGGGGTTATGAGGGCTGTTTATTAACTGAACATTTGGAACATAAAACATGAATGCCTATTTGGAAGAATTTTCATTACGAAGACAAACATGGAACATATTTTTAGGTAGTTTATTCAAAAAAGTAAAGCTAGAGAAAAAGTAATTTTTCTTTCTTTTAAATGGAGATTGCCAATATCATTTAACAATGCTATACATTAAAAAGTGCCTTTGTACTCGCGTAATACACACCGGCTCCGGCATATCAAGCTACATTAGAATTATAAAGTGCTACCAACGTACGAGTAGAATATGATAATAACTGGCAATAATGACTAAAATGACCAAAACACCCAATGATCGACTATAGCTTAGTGAAATTGCTGTATACGAGCAAAACCGCGGGGCGTGCATATGCTCGCGGCGGGGCTGATTAAGGTGATTACACACTCGAGGGGTGCAAAGCGGCAAGCGTTTAATTTACCGCCATTTGCATGGCGGCTTGCGACCCGATCTGTTTAGTGAGATCGGTTATAGGCAGATGTGTACGTCACTTAAATACATGTTACGTGCTTATTACCTTATTATTATTATCACCCATTACGTTATTGATACCGATTTAGAACTCAAATATTGATCCTACCTACGCCAAATATTTTAATGGATGGTTATTAGAGAAGCTGTTCAGAATTTAAGAACGTAAAACACCTAACTTCAAGTCCTGTTAACGAAAATACGCACGTACGAAAATACGCACGTATTAATGTATTTTGATAACGTATCATCAGTTATATTAAAACGATATACTTGAGTTTGTTTAATTACAGCCTCGCTCGTGGCACATATTATTCTTCTCGCCCACTCACAATCGACTTATAAGTTATTAAATAGGTGAGTCACAGTACATTACATTCCATTCCAATGAGGGTTTTCGCGATTGAAAAATCCGCCAGATGGCAATACGTAGGCGCGAGGTCCAAATGCTGCGTGATTGGTGGATTTTGACATATCTGTCAATGTCGAAATTTTCAATCGCGAAAACCCTCATTGATCCTCTTTTCTGGTAAGCACTTTCGTGGGATACGTAGAGTTCCCTCATTCATCTACAAAGATTATTCAAGAACTTACTCAAGTCTGTAGCTAACGATCTGAATAATTACTGTTCCTAAATGTAAAATTTCCATTTTAAAAGCTTCCGAAATGTATTTTAAGTATGTCTCCATTGAAATCTTAAGCCGTCGAGTACACGGTGGGTGACGCATTGAATCCCGAGCTTAACATAACAATCTTAGAGTTCAAATAAGGAGTAGATGAATGTTTGACTTTGCTCGTCAAATATCGGGAACGAAGTGATCGCATGAGCAGCGTAAACCTAATCATCGAGTGCCAACAGTGGCCGCCATTCGCAGGCACGGAGATGTGTTTAACTTGTAACGTCCCATCCGCGCTGTTTGATTGAGATCGCCCGGGCTACGTTTAGAGTGTACGGATTATGGAATCTTTGAAGTGAATCAGTTTGGAGCTCTTCTTCTCAGAGTAACATCTCTTCATTATGACGCGTTGAAGAACATCACGCATAACAAGAAATTCAGTAGTTTGGTTGAGAAGTGAAATCAGTCGTCAAAATTTGCTGGCGTTTGACTTATAACGTCCCGTTCACATTGTTTGATTGACATCGGCCAATTAGACTATAGAGTGCGCGGAATAGATCATATTAGGTATCATCCGTCATATAAGACGCTCTAGATAGAGATAGATAGTGACTCACGTTTGTTCTGGCGCTCTAGGACTAGGTGGTACTAGAAAAATCTAGCAGCACACCTCTCACGTACCAACATAATCTATCATCTCTTATTCTCATGGTGAGTTTACTAGTATGTAACGTAACGAAGGATATTGAAATTGACAAGCTATACAACCCTTCCAATTTTTGAGAAAAAAATATAGCCTAACATGCTCTGTCATTCCTGATCCCATGTCTCATGTCTCTTTACCATTTATATCAAAATGTAGTTTGAGCGTGATAACCTTAGGTGATAACGTGACAAAGTATCATAAGGTCACCGAAATTGATTTTTCAATAACCCTGACTCTGCTAAAAGATTTGCATATTCCGTAGCTGCATCCATTTTAAAATCAGCGCACCGATGAAACGCCGCAACAATGCCCTTAAAACTTGTACGTTTCTTTGTCGAGAATGGACCGTCCACAACAATATGAAATGAACGGAGAAAAAAAGTACAGCGCAAACTTTAAAGTGGTTCTATAGGAGCTGGAGAGTATTTACGTCAGTGGCCGGTAAAACATCCTCCGCGCATACAAATCAGTGGAACTGGCCAAGTTTGAATAAAACTTTGCAAAATTAACTTTGATCGTGTTTTAATGCTTGTGTCTGCCTGTCCGTTGTATTAAATTGCAGTTTATATCCGCGCCATCTTCTCTCAACCAGTGTTTGAATGAGTTTCTTGTGAAGTTTAACTCATTTAGGCGGCTCGAAAGAAACTAGGGTTAAATTCAGCTCAGCCAGTTAACGCCTTCGACTCTTGCCTTTTAAAGTTAGAAACTTAGGTAATGAAGGTTCTTTGTTTAAACCCATTTAGGTACTATTTACGTTGGGGTAAAGTCTAGAGGTAAAGTCTTTAGTTTCAGCAATAGCTTGAGCATTTTTTGATAGACGTTTCTAATATTTTCATGATTATGAGGTTCTGGTTCCGATATCCAGATGGGACTACATAGTGTGAGTGAAATTACTTTGTGTATTTTAGAACATTATAGTCTTGAATCAACCTGATCACCTGAAACTAAATATGATTACATTTTGAAAAGCTAAGTTGTCGTCAAATTTTCCTTGTCCGACGTTTTTGTGCGGTAATTAAATCGGATCTGCCGATCAAGTTTGTAATTAAAAATTAAAAATATTAAAGTTTAAAAAGCTTAAATAAATACAAGATATTCTATCATTCAAATTCCACGTGTATTGACGTAACATTAAAAACGTTATGAGATAAAGTTTAACAACAAGTAACTAACAAAGTAAATTAATAAAGCTACGAATAAAACCAACTGTTACAAAAATATAAAAATAATATAACAAATATACATTAACTTGTGTCGCTGGTGAGGTAATTGAGTTTAGCAGGTCTTAAAAACACCGCTTGCTCGCCGAGGTACTTAGTATGGCGAATGCCAAACGATGGAGCGGGAATAGCACGTTTGGACGCCATGAACTGAAATTACGGTTAAAGATTTTATTATCCTCAAAGACTTACATATAATCAGTTTTGAGATAATACAATATTCAAATACAGTTTAAGTCTTACGGCTATCGTAGCAAGTAACTTAATAATAATTAAAAACATAAATCATTAAATTCTTCTCAAAATAATTATCCATACATAAAACAGTTTTCCTGTAGTAAAACATCCATCTAAATTAATAAGAAAAATGTGTTACTTTTTTAAAATAACATATCGACGCCCTTATGAAAGAGGAAATTGCCCAAACTTTGAATAACTCTTAGATTACACATAACCATAGAATATGGCGGTTCAGATTGCCCTAATCTAAATATGGTTTTCTATTCACCGGTTTCCCTATTTTTTATGTAGGCGTAGGTATGAATGTTTCTTAGAAAACTTGCCCTTCTAAGAAACAAAACGTTTTTATTCTTATAAGATTCATGAAAATCTTATTATTGAAGGAAATTGTACGATAAAAGTTATTCATACCGTTTTCGGCAAAATATCTGACATAAAAATAAACCGCAAAACTTAATAAAGCGTCGCCATTGTCGAGTCGAGTATTTATCGTGGAGCGTGAGGTGAGTGTAATTTCTTAGCAAATGTTTGCACGCTCGAAACCTCTCGACTTAATGACACCTATTGTCGTTGATTAAGGTAAGTGTAACGCTACAATTGATGTGTGAAATAACACGTACCTTTTTCTCGCAATACCTATTAGGCGCTGGCGTCCTCGGTGCTTTGAGGCGTTTGAACGGCCCGCCGAAAGAGAATGCGGGTTTGTTTTTCTTTACGAAATCAAAATTAGGTTCGTGCTCGCCGGGGCCAGGGAAATCTGGAATCTTGTCAGGTTTCGCCATAATGCCGAGAGTGTACGCCGGGGCTTTCCTTCGAATAATTGTTTCGCATTATTAAACTACTCGGCGTTGAAAGAAAATGGTGGAATCCTTTCTATTGTCGGCGCGTTAATTGTTTATCAGTTTAATCAAAGAAGTTGTAACAATTAGCTTTTCGTGTCTTAAAAATGCGATCGCAATTTTCCACCACTTTGAAGAAATTAAGTTTTAGTGAAACTTCTCAAAATACTAAGCTTAAAGAGGGAATATAAGTACTTGCATATTAAAATGTATTGCACAGAGAGATTTTACGAGTGAGCTAATTTAACGTCGAGAATAAATTATAAATAAGCCATTTGATGTAAGTTTCTAAAATCTCTTTGAACATTCAACGTATTATGATATAATATGATATTGGATTTTATACAACATGTGACCTCTGATCTACAAAAAGTCACCTCGGGGTCCAGACAATTTACTTACGAAAGTTTACAGCGTGGGTTCGTTCAGTCATAAAAGTTTTATTTGCCTAGTAGTATTAGTTGCCTTGAAGCACTAATAAATCGTTTGCGGCAGACATTGGTGATTGATTTTATGATTACAACGTTGATTATGTTATTAATATTGCATGGTGAATATACTTACGCGCCAGGTATGGGTGGGCAGTACATATTAGGCGGCGGGGTCCACATGTCCCAGGGCTGATAGGGCGGGCGTGCGGCGGGCCGCATGGTGTACGCCGGGGGTCGCTTGTACCGGACCTTCAAGCCTGGTGCATATGTGGCTGGTCCAGGCACCTTCCCCTTGTTGCCCACAGGGTCGATTTGTGGCGAGACCACCCCACAGGGCACCTTGTATTGTCCTGGATTGAAAGTCAGCCACAGTTACTTGTTCACGGCGTTGATCTAGCCGTTTCCGAGAATTATTATTNTTATTTTTCCAGAAAATTTATATTTAAGTGCATACATGTAAAAATGGCTTCATACTCGTAGTGCACAAAATTGGCAATAGGTGGCATAATAATGGTTACTTTTTTAGCGCCTAGTTTGAAATGTGATTGAACGATGACAACTACTAACAACAGTTGTCAGTAAGGTAAAATTTTATTTTAGTTGGAAAAAGACAAAAAGTGGTAAATGGGTTAACGTGCGGGGGCTGCAAAATCATGTTGTGACGTCACGCGCGAACATTGGAAATTTTTGAAAATTTTAAAATGTCCGTAAACTTCTCGAGGCTCTATCTTCGGTAATACTGGATGGATTGAGGTGAAATAAAAACTAGTGTAATGTGTGTGATCTAAACTTTAAATTAAGTCATAATTTGACTTAATATTACAACTTATGCGTGTTGTCCATTATTATTTTCAAAATCTGTTTTAACTTTATGAACAGTTCTCAATAGAAGCACCCTTGTGTCGAACGAATATTGAACAGCTTACAAGCTGTTCAATATTCGTTAGAAATCTATGATGAAACGTTTAATGTACTGATATTATTATAATTATGATCTAATATTCAAGTTACTTCAAGCAATCACAAGCTTGAATTAATTTCAATTACCTATGGGACAAAATTACTTACAAAAGTGACAAATAAATACATACGTGTTTTATAAAACTTTCTTCTCAAAGGCTAAAATTTATAAATACCTTTCCTCCCCAAGCCTTGCACGTTGAACAAGGGCGCGTTGGCCCTGGCCACTGGTTTCTGGAAGGTCGTTGGGGTAAGATGGCCAAAGGTGTACGCTGGTGAACGCTTTATTTTAGAAAAGCCTGGACCACCTGTAAAGCAATTTAAGGTAAAAACAAATGTGAGAGTATCTAATCTACCTTGTACCTACTACGATGAGTTAGTAAATAATTTAGGGAAGGATACTGGACTACTTAGATGTGTGTGGTGATGAAACGACTGGAAAACTAAAGTAGTTACAGAATATCTCCGGCTGCTCATAGTGCGCGGGGCTCGGCGTCGGCGCCTCCCCCGCTACCTTCCCACGGCGCTGCGTGGGCTTCGCAGGCACCTGTTTCACCAGCTTCGCTCGGCACTCCCATCCCCACGGCATTTTCGACGTTTATGTTATTTTAACGCAATCAACAAACACTTCAACAAAATGTTTGACAATTGCGCTCTCAAACATAAGCTGTCATTGTACTTTTTTTTTTAATTATCAATGAGAATGTAGAGATGTACCGAGCAAGGAGTTTGACACCACAATTGTATTGATTAACTTATTGATGAGTTTGGTTTGCAAATTGGCTGTTTGCTCATATGGTAGTTGGGGTAAACACCTGGTTAATAGATCAACAATCACTATGATTGGAGATTAGCATAACATAGCAAAACTAGTAGGTATTTAGTGCATGTCGTGATAAGACTTTTAGAAGAGAGTTAAATAGAACTTGAGTTATCCGCAAAATTATTGCCATAGAAAAGAGAATGACGTTCATCAATCTCAGTGAAGCGACCGGGCGACCGTAACTCTTATCGCCCTTAATAAGAAATAACAGAACACCGAAGCCTAGCGTTCCATTCCATAAAGCGTCCTGCAGACACATCTCGCCAACTACACACAATAACGAGGGCCCGAATCACGGCGCTCGCGATAACATTCGGAGATAAAAGCGGCACGGAGCGTCGGAATCAGGGGAGCAAATAAAAACTCGGTGGGAATTTCCACGGCCCAGGAAATTGAGCTGCACCGGATATCGTCGCACCGGAGCGACGTGGGACGGAGGCACCATCCGGTCGAGGTGGGCCGTCTTCATTATTCCTTCATTCTCTCACATTCCAATTCTGCGAAAAAAGAGCGTCGCCAGTTGTTTTTTCATTTCGCAACTTGCCGACTAATTATATTTTTCTGTGACGTGGCCTTTTTGTGTGCTGATTATAAACTTTAGACCGTACCTTGGATCATGCGTTGGAAGTTACACAAACATAACATTATTTCCAACTAGCTTTCCGCCCGCGGCTTCGCCCGCGTGGAATTTTGTCTGTCACAGAAAAACTTTATCGCGCGCGTCCCTGTTTCAAAAACCGGGATAGACTTCATATCATATGTAGTTGTAATAGATTCTATAGTCTGATGAAGAATTCCAAATGCCTTAAGGAAAAACTTACTAAGTAATATAAATAACAAAATCTACATACTGAATTTACATTTCTAACAAAAAAATTGTTTACTGAAAGAAATATAAGACCTACGAGTATGTAAAACGATTCTTCGTTTTTCTCAAAAATAGGATAGAATTACATGTATTTATATTATTTATGGATAAATATAATATAAGCGCTGTATCTAAAAAATACTTCAAAGCGATGTCGTTCTCAGAAATACTTTACGTAGACTTTTTAAATACTCAGGAGTAAAAAATATGCCTAAATGAGCAAATAATTTTCTGAGTAAATATCTTTCATACCTTCATCTTTTTAGTAGGTACTAATGTAATAATAGACTTATTAACTTTTACTGATTTTACAGTACATGAAGTAAACTACTTTTCTCATTCATAGAGTCATCTTTAACTACTTACTTTACTACGTATTTGTGAGGATTCTCGAAAATTTTATCTACGAGCTATTGATGAACATTATTAATGTTATAGCTCATACAAGTAAATCTGAATATTACCTACCTACCTACGTATGAGCACTGTCCCAAGCTGATTAAACTTTGTGTATTTGAATACACGTAAGGTAGCCATAATATCAACCTACCACATAATGACCAACAATTGAATTTGAAACGTATCCTAAAGTCGTAAACTTCAAAATCTTTAAGGGCATGTTGATCTGCTGGTCCAAACGAATGACTTACGCCCGTATTCACAAACATTACTATAGTTCCAAAATACTGAACTGTCCTATGCATGACATTGACAGTGGGGCGCCACCGTCAATACCGGATCGCTAGTTCCGATTTTTGCCATGTTGGAAACCCTATAGTTGAACGATGGTAGCGCCCCCCTGTCATTGAGTTTGGTGGGACAGTTCAGCGTGGGTCATCTATATAAGGTCTCACAGTGCGCGTGGACACACTGGGTGACACATGAACCAATCACAGAGCTCTACTCAACGCTGTGCGTTCGATTTGCTGCTTCACTAATAATGCGTGTCCCGGCTCTAGTTCTCATCTTAATGATGACACTGTATTCGCATAATAAGCAGATCATCGCGTTGAGGTCTCATTAATGGAGATCCTTATGTTTAAACATCGTGTTATTTGGATGCTTCTTATATTGCGAGGGAAAACGCGCTTGTTTTGTCCTAAAATACTTATAAAATACCTGGATCAGAATGATTACGTTATATGTACGAGTACATGCTACATGTACAGCTTTGTCAATAGTCTTGAATTTGATTTTCTATACATTTATATTTATTTTTCATCACATGTGATTTCATAAGTTTCATTGAAATGGTAACTAATTGTCTTGGATTTTGCCTGAGTAAGTTTCAGCAATAGTTTTAGCCTACATTGAATAATTTATTTTTCGCACGACCTGCGATTTTGACAAAATTAATAAGCCAAAGTAAATTCTCAAGTATTCTGAATCAATAATTCAATAATTATTAAAAATAATAGTTATACATTTTCATATTTTTCTTAGAAGTGATGGATTTCAACATTATAAGTAATTTTAAACCAAAATCAATTTAGGGGTTCAACCCAAAAAAGAGTTTCTTTACCCATTTCGAATATTGGAATACGTCAAAGAAATATCTATTTTGGCAAAATTAACTTGGTATTTTTACTTACTACTATGGGGTTCATCGGCATTGGGTTTTACATATTAAAGCGAACCTTTTACTTGGTACGTGTATGCTATATTGCCGGATTCCCGCTAGGGGGTGGTTTTCATAAGCGAAACATAAAAATGATTTTTACCGTGCTGCTAAACTTTTAAGGAAACGAGACTGAACCACTGTATTATTAAACTTCTGAAAATACTTGTATATTGTTATCAATTAGACCTTTAATCGTTATTTCATTCAAAAGTGAAGTAAAAACTTGATGCGTAGATATTTCTTCTAAACGCCTAAAAATACAACTTTGGCGTTATTCGAAAGTTCTATATGTATAAAGAATTAAAGAGTACCATAAAATAATAACACAAGACAATAATGTACTACTTATTACTTTGGGGATCTGATCGCCAACAGCGATTTACATTTTCATGAAATTATAAGTATACTACTAATATACTGTAGGGGAAGCCCGGGCAAGAAGCATAATGTGGGTAAGAAGAATAATCGACTTTACTAAAAACCTACAACACATGGCGCTACTGGACGTTTGCGAGTCTGTAAAACAGCAACACAGCCACGCCATGATAGTTCCATCAAAACAATACGTGCGTGAACTTTTTGTCACTTTTTGTCAATTCGAAATCAAAAGTTTTTGGCTGTTTTCTTACGATTTTTGGCAAGGTATGTGTGTTGATTTCTTGTATTACGTATTAAGTGTTGACTTATAGACTCTATTTAGTTGATTGCATGTTAAATTAATTTGTGTGTGTTGCTTTTTTTCACCGGTAGAAATTTAACGGGTGGATATACAACTTTTAAATATTGGTGCCTTGTGCAAGACGGATATGGGCATAACGGATAGGTAAAGACAGCCATAACTGAATAGCAGGCCCTAACAAAACCACACATCTGAAAACAAGAACTTCCAAACAAGACTTGTCAAGAGGAAAAATGACCAAAAACAAAAATCAGATGGAGAAAACAAAATATTTATGTTGTGTGCTCAGAAGAATACACTGAACCACCTACCGAGGATTGGATAGAGTGCAATAAATGCAAGAAGTGGGCACACGAGGATTGTACCTTATATTCAGACATAGGCAGTTATTATTGTGATGATTGCAATATTTGCAATGATTAAAGCAGTTTTACTGTACATATCCGTCTTGCCCAGGGGGGTCGGGCAAAATGGATAATTGGAACTTTTTTTTAAATGACATTTTTATAGTAGAATTTGTTTAAGTTTCTGAGTTTATTCTTTTCAATTCCAAAGTTGATTACCTAAGATAAAAATTATTAATTAATAGACGGTTGTTGATTGCATATTTATGTGGTTTTTTTGCCACTTTTCTTAAGGTATTCGTGCTGCCCGGGCTTCCCCTACTAATTTTATAAAACAAACGCTAATTTAATAAGAGAACTTGATAAATGACCTACTTATCTCTAAGACTTGTAATATCCGGTGGTAATAATAGAAGTTATTTGGCTGTTTAGTGAAGTCTTGCCACGTAATTAATTAGGTAAGTACGTGTGAAGGCTCTGGGTAATATCTTCGATCTTTCCAAGTCTGCTTATGAGATCTCGCGAGTTCTGCCAGTGTTCTGAGATACTAAACATAAGTTTATGTGCTGTTGACGGAATCCGCGAGGAAAAAGTCCGTTGTTCTATACAAAAGTTTCTATCCATCCAACCCAAATGTATAGAAATGCAGCTGAATTTTATCACTGTCAGTGATGACTGATTAAGGGTGACTATTTTNTTTTTTGTTTTTTTTTTTACTTAAGAGCTGGAATTGAACCCATATTACGGTTACAGCAAGCGAAAGGTTAAATGGATTCATTATTCTTAGATTTTTTCAAGTTATTTTTAGAGATAGAACGAAAAGAAAGAACGTGTCTACTCGTCTGCCACTATCACATAAAAAATGGAAAAAATATTAGGTTCGAACATAAAATTTTAAATTAGTTTTAATAATAATATCGTTAGCTCCATTAATAAACCATTAGAAAAAGTCAGATAATATGACTGCAAAGAGTGAAATACGAGTAAGTGCGTGTTCTTGTATTTTGTTTTTATTATTTCTCATTGTCGAGTTTCTAAAACTTTGCCTTTATACGCCAACAAAAGAAACCGTACACAAAAGTTTTTAAGAGCGTTCGTGCGTAATTAAGTCTCAGTGATCACCACTCTCATACAGCGACTTGCAACGCTCCCGATTTCATTTGCGCAAAGTTTAATAAAACGCTACACAATATCAGAGAACAAATACTAATAAATTATATTCTTCTTCGTTTGGCTTTCCATTCAACCAACAACCAATAACCTGGAGAAGGTTACGGAAAACGTCTAGATGCAAGCAGAGCAGGATAGGTCATTCTAGCAA